TCTGGCTAAGAGATAACATATAGTAGTCAAGTCACAACATAAAACTAACAATACAACATGATAGTGTGAGAGACAAAATTGTTTTTGTGCCTCAATAACCTAGTTCGATACAATTCAATTTTGAGCTTTATCATCCAAGTTTCTTGAGTTTTAACATCCAATCTAAAAGAATAATGACCAAAATTCAATACCAGAAGTATCTAATGTAAAAAAAAAAAGGAAGGGTCATAAGCCGGTGCTGGTCTTGCTTACACAGGGTCCTTGGAGGGGTGAGATGGAAACGGTCCTAATCTTTGGCTTTTTATGCACAAATTGGCTGCTCTCAGGACTTGAACCCTCTTGCGCTAGCTACCCGAACCTTTTACCGTCACACCAAGTGACGACCCCTTTAGGAAGTATCAAATGTAATAAGTGGTAATTCGTTAATTTTGGTTTCCATTTTTTTTGTGTTGTGTTTGTTGTTTTTGACCCCTTTGCAGTTCCTTTCTTCAGTACCTACTCAGAATCATATTGGGCCTCAAATTTTGGCATTGATGTAATATCTGCCGACCTTAGTTCTTTTGCCTCGAAGAATGATCTGTTTGGTTCACTCTCTAGGGATCTTTTTGTTAAGCTAAAATTGTTTGTGCTTAGAATGGGAAAATCCATACTTCCTATGAAAAGAAAGGAAGTAGTAAGTTGAATCCATTGAGAATCCATACTTGGTATGAAAAAAAAAGGGAGCTGTAAGTTGAATCCATTGAGCACCTTTGATGTAGAAACATTTGTAGCTCTAATTTTTAAGTAGGACTTTAGAAGAAAGCTTTGTCTTGATTCCTATGAAGCAATTATGAGTATGGGGCGGAAGACACTTGGTCAAATTACTCCCCCAATCCCACCTTATCTAAATTAGATAGGTTCCTCACTTCTCTAGATTGGGACAATCTCTTCCATGGGACTCACTCCTCCGTTCTTCCCAATCTTACTTCAGACCACGGTCCTATCTTACTCGATACTTAGGCAGTCAAGAGGCGTCCCAAACCTTCAAAAAATCCAAGGCCTCGTTATCAAAACTTGACTGAGAGAAGATATGATCACATAGATTGGAAGGTTCTTGATGAGACTCTCCCTAGAATGGGCTTCAAGGGTAAATGGAGAAAATGGATTCAAGGATGCATCTCCAATCTTTTTTTGTCTGTACTCATTAATGGCTCCCCCAAGGGATACTTCTGGCTTTTAGGGGCATTCGATAGGGTGATCCTTTGTCACCCTTCCTCTTTGCAATAGTGGCTGAGGTGTATAGCGCCTCCATTTTGAGAATGTACCGAGCATGCTTTCTTACTGGCTTAAACATTGGAAGGTCGAGTACGTCCATCTCCCACCTTCAATACGCAGACGATACTCTCCTCTTTTGCAATGCATCCCAGTGACAAGTTGACTGCCTGCTACTCTTCCTCCAATGGTTTGAGTTTGCATCCTGCTTCATAGTTAATATGGTGAAATCTAAAATGATGGGTATTGTCTTGGACAATCCTTTGGTTCAGATGATAGCTGACCGAAGGGTTTACACAATAGACGACCTCCCTTCCACTTATTTGTGGCTTCCTCATTGTCTCGGTTTACTAAGACTCGACCACTCATCATCATAGCTTTTTCCCAATTAATTGGGATCGGCTACAAGAATCATGGTCAGCTATTCTGCTCTATTAAAGACCATACCCTCAGTGAGGTCATATGTCCCCATATCTTTTCGGACTATTTCCAACCACGTCCTTTTGGGCCTACCCCATTCCCTCTTCAATTTTTCCACTTGAACTAGCTCGCTCCTCCAAACAGGTGTTTTACTTGGTCGGCGCCACACATGGCCAGTCCACTTAAGTCTACTCTCTCTCATCTTATTGCCTATTGGTGCCACACCTAAATTCTCTCGAATGGAGTCATTTTGACTTTTATCCCTTCTTGTCTTGCCACTCACCCATCTCAACATCCTCATCTCCGCTACACTCATTTTTTTGGTACATTGTTTTTTGTCCGCCCAACATTTTACCCCATAGAGCAAAGCTAGTCTCACAATTTTCATATAGAACTTGCCCTTCAGCTTCATTGGTACGCGGAGATCGCATAAAATTTCATTTGCACATCTTCACTTCGCCCACCCAACTCTAATTATGTGTGAGACATCTTTCTCAATCTTTCCATTTTCCTAGATTATCGACCCAAGATATCGAAAGTGCGGTCTGTTTTGTACTTCCTGGCCTTCAATCTTAACTGCTTCCTCGTCTCTACTCCTATTATTGTTAAACTTTTATTCCATATACTCTATCTTAGTCCGACTAATTTTAAATCCTTTGGATTCTAAGGCATCCCTCCAAAGTTCTAACTTTGTGTTGACGTCGTTTCAAGTCTCATTGATCAAAGCTATGTCATCTGCGAACAACATGCACCACGGTACCTCATCCTGTAGGTGCTTAATTAAGACGTCCATAATTAAGACAAAGAGGTACAGGCTCAAATATTGAAGCCCAATAAATTGATAAATTTGAAAGGAGGCTAGCTGCATGGAAAGGGAGATTTTTATCCTCAACCAGAACATTGATACTCATCAAGGCTACCCTCTCTAGTATTCCACTCTTCATAATGTCTCTTTTTCACATGCCTGCCTCTATCCTAGCTAGGTTAGAAAAACTTATGAGAGACTTTTTGTGGTCAGGTGACGGTGGCCAAAAATTTCTCCTTATCTCTTGGGCTAAGTTGTGCTTACTTAAATTCAGTGTATCAAAAAGGGCTACGCGGGTCCTAGGCGGCCTGGGGGGTCCAGGTCGCCTAGGGCCCTAGGCAAGCGCCCTGGGGGGTCCAGGTCGCCTAGGGCCTAAGCAGGCGCCCAAAACCTGGGCAGCTGCCCAGTTGAAAAAAAATACCAAATTACCAAATACCATATTCCAAGTTGAAAAAAAAAAGATAGATGTCGAGAAAAGAATTTTGATAATCTATATTGTTAAAACAATAAACTGTAAAACCATACAAGTGTAGGATATAAAAGTCAACACTCAACACTCAACACAACAGAAATATACAAAACTTTAGAATATAAACAATCCAACAAAAGTCAACACTCATGGCTTAACACAACAGTCAACACTCAACACTCAGCACCAAGAGGCAAGAGTCTTCAGTTGTTGTCATCATCATCGTCAGAAGGAATATCAATAGGGCAAGCCTCATCATATGCATCAAAGTCGAGGCCATCATCATCAGAGTCATCTCCCTCTTCAATATAACGCTCATCCTCCTCAGTTTCTTATGAATTTGCCTCTTCCTCGTCTTCTACCTTCCTCTCA